TAGATGAAGGCAGACCCAGCTGTATTTTCAGAGGTCACTGTGCAATTACCCCAAGCTGGTGTTTAAACAAATACAGGGCGAGGCTAACACCCCCACTCTGATGGGAGTTGCCCCAGGACTTCCAGGGCTGCCAGTGGTCAGGGCATCGCCAGCCACCTTCCCTGCGCCTTCCTGCAGCTCTTCCCTGCTCCCACGGCCACTCGTGGTGGATTGCACACTGAAATGGTGCCAGGCTCCAAGAGGCAGCAGCTCTCATTTGATAATCTTATTTCCTGCTAAGCAGAAGCCAAAAGCTGATAGGAGTTTCTGTAACATGCGTGTGCTCCCATGCATTTATTTCCTCAGCCCCATCACCCTCCAGCCAGCAGCCCCGCAGCAGCGTGCAGGGATGTGGCTGCGAGCAGCCGTGCCCTGCACCGCTTCTCGGTGCTGTGCTCCCACTGACGGAGCCGCTTGTGCTCCGCTGCTCCCAGGGGGGTGAGACAACTGTCCCCTCCCCAGACACGAGTCTGGGGCTCTGCCATCGCTGGCACCCCGAGTGCAGCAGAGGTTTGCACTGGCTGTGCGTGGCGTTTGCTGCTGCTGCAGCAGAAGGTGACACCAGGCATTTGGGAACTGGCAAGTCCAGGGAGTCTGTGAGGGTCAGAGGCTCAAGAAATTTGGGCTTAGAAAAGGCTATCTGAATTGTACCGGTGTGTGCAAATCCACTGTTCTGTTAAGGGGCGGGGGGGGGAAGCATGGTTTATCTGGCTCTTTTAAAGGGGTACTTGCAGTTCATTTTGAAGCTGTGGGTGGTGGAGAAGGTCCTCTTCACCCCTCCTCCTCCACCTAAATCATCGGCAGACATTTGCTAGGAGAGCTGGGAGTCATGGGCAGGGGCTCTTGCCGTCCTGCTGGCACCTACATCTCCAGCGCACACAGGGTCAGCTGGCCCCGAGAGGGTCTCTCGTACATAACCGAGCACGCTGCCAGATTGTAACCGGAGCCCCGCAATGGTCTCGGTTGGAGCCTGCAGGACATGGGACACGGGACGTTACAGCTGCCCCCAGGACACATGTACCACCGGTCACCCTCCTCAGGCACGCACCAGTCTTCAAAGCCTTTGCCAAGCGCCTGAAAATGGACAGACTCTGGCCCAGGACCACACGAAGTGCCTGAACTGAACAGCCAGGTCTCGGTGGGACAGCCAGGCTCCCAGCCTGCACCGCTGTCGGCTGCGCTGGGTCTGGCCAGACAGGGAGCAAATACCACTCCTCGCCCCAGAGAGCTACGCAGCTGCTTCCCACGGCAAACAAACACGAGAAAACTGTATCTGGACTGTATGGAGGAAAATCACCCAGCACCCTCCAACCCTGCAAGTTTGGCCAATTGAGGCAAATATTTGCAAAGACTCGAGGGGAAGAGCCAGGGCTGACCAGTGCTGGACAAAGTGAGTAAGAAATAACCCCCCATCCCCGTGGGTGCACAGAGCCGAGGGGAGGGTGGTGCAGCGCAGGTGAGGGGGTTTACTGCACAGGATGCTGAGGGTGTGCGCGGCCGCCCCGGCACCCTCGCGAGTGGCACCCACAGCAAACCTTGTCTTGAGGGCGGCCGTGGGTGCCCCGTGAGTGGATGCAGCCCTGCAAAGCCAGAGCCTCCCGTGGCCAGCCTGGGATCCACAGGCAGCACGAGATCGGGACTGACTCAATCACCAGCTAGCCATTAGTACACCATTAAAAGAAAAATCAGTGATTGCTTCCTCATTGAAAACTTACAACTTTCTCTAATTAATACCCTAAAACTAGGCTTATTTCCTGGTGAAATGTGTGTGCTTGTGGTTCAGGATTGC